ATTTTTAGTAGAGACAGGGTTTCACCATGTTGGCCAAGCTGGTCACAAACTCCTGACCTCAAATAATCTACCTGCCTCAGCCTCCTAAAGTGCTGGGATTATAGTTGTGAGCCACCGTGCCCAGCCCCAACATGATCTTAAAGAGCAGAAAAACATGTAATGCTCAGTTTACCTGAGAGCTTCCACTGAATATGTTTCAGTGAGTGAGAGACACAAGGTTTTTGTTCCATTAGAAGTATTTTATTTTAAAGTACACTTGAAATTTTAAATGTGTACAAATTCAGAGGTTTAAAAAACTTTGAAAGTCAGAGACACAGAGTTTAGGAAGCTGAAGGCTGAGAGTCTCCCTTCTCAGTTAATCCATGTTTTATTTTGCATTCCTCACAGGTAAGCAGGCAGTGCCTAGAAGAGAAGCAAAAATAGACAGTGGTTTGTACTTTGACACTGGAAGCTCTAGCCTTATTATTATTATTAACTTAAAAAGTCTTTTTTAAAAAAGACTGTTGTTTCCCAGGCTGGTCTCGAACCGCTGGGATCAAGGGATCCTCCCACCCAACCCTCTCGAGTATCTGAGACTATAGGCATGAACCACTGCACCTGGCCTCAACACAACATTAGAGATATAGTTTATGCTGAAGTTCACTAGGCTTGTTTTTCCAGAAATAATAGGAGTTGTTGCTTGATTTATGACCCCAGAATTTCACGCCCCTGAAAGCAAATAATGAGCTTTATATTGAAACAGATGGTTGTATTTGTGGTCAGGGTCCAGCAGAGGTTGAACATATTAATTCTTTTTTAATTTGAGTAATTTCTAACAATAGCATAAAATTATAAATATACAGTGCATTGATCCAGGATTGGACTATATGCCTATAGAGTTAAGTATGAACAGACACACATGTGCACATATATACACACATAACTTTTTAAATTAAAAAAATGATGATACTTCCAGAATTTCTGGCTTATACTTTGCCTAACTTTCCCTTGGTATTCCCTTAGGACACCAGGGAAAATGCACAGCTTCGTTCTAGACTAATAGTAACATTTGAATACGGAATAGATGTCCTCAAGTCCCTCCTTGCATTAAAGTTTTATAATCTTACAAATTCAACAAACATTTACTGAACATCTACTACTATGAGGACTTTCCAACAGGACAACTTTATTTATACAGGGCAGTGATAGGATGTGTTTTGAATGATAGAAAACTCATTCAATCTGGCTTGGGTGGGAAGGATTACTTGAAAGGTAGCAAGGCCACAAACTGCTATTGTAAAACCCTGAACACATGGATGAGGAACCCCTTTCTCTCACTTATTTCCCCTCATTGCTTTGAGAATGAAAAAAATCCTTAAGCATGGCATAAATTCCTCCAGGAGCTGACCTCTACGTGCCCGGACTTCCAGCTTGTTATCTGCCTTTCCCAATAGGTCTTTATGCTCCGGCCATAGGATGTATTTATGATTCCCTTTAATAATGAAAATTTCCCCTCTCTACATACTACTCCAGGACTGGAATCCCCTTCTTCAACCCTGCTATAGCTCCTACTGTAGCCATAGCTCCTGCTATATCTCGTCTTGTCATACCTTCTGCTATAGTTCCTACTACTTGAATCTACTAAGATTCAAGTCAAGCATCATCACCTCCTCCAAGCAGTCCTCCTTAATGCCTATTCCTTAACTCTCTCCTCTACCTCAACTTAGTCAAGTTCCCCACTCTACTTTCCCTTAACTAGAAAATCAAGTAGCTTTGTGCATTATTGCCTTTCAAATGTGCTGGTAATGGCCCTTCACACAGCGCACAGCAATTGGTTACCAGCTACAAATGCAAGTCCAGAGTGGGGCTTCTGTGGCTGGCAGTGGGAAGGCAAAATGAAACTACAGAAAGCAGAGCTTAAAGGAGCCCTTGAAACTAGTTACTTCAATTACCTCCTTTCACAATGGACATTGTCTGAAAAATGTAGATTTCAGTCCTGTGTTCATAATTACTCTGAAATCCAAAGTTGGTTAATTGCAAAAGACACTCCTGAAATTGAAGAGGAAGCAGTCAACAAAATTCTCTCCTTTACTTATGCTACTTTTTCCTACTTTCCCACACAGACCAGAATCATGTGACCAATTCCTCCCCAGTAAGCTGACTCAAAAACATAACTTTGTGAGGATGAACTATAGTTGGTGTTGTCTGTAAATACGGAATTAATGATGCACTGGTGGCCTTGCTTCCATAATGGGAAAAGTAAGGGTTTGGAAAACAGATGATCTGAGGTGAGAGACCCTTTTCCACCCACTAATGATGTCACCTTCAGAAGGTCTCTGAAGCTCTCTGGGTCTCATGCAGCTCATCAAAAAGAGACAGTATTGAAAGTTCCATCTATCACTCCAGGACTAGGAAACATGGCTTTCCAGTCACATAATTAGAAAAGGACCTTGGGTGTTTTGACTTCAAGTCCAGTTTGTTTTCACCATATTGTGCTGCTTTTTAGATAGAACCCACTGTGACCAGCAAGGGGTCTTTAGAGAAATGTGTCCCCAACACTACTCTTGTAACTACTATGGTAGAGCTAGTAGAAATAGCTAATGTTTACTGAGCACTTACTGAGAGTCATGAATAATCATTTCTGTTCTTTACATCTCATAAAAACTATCCTGATTACCATTTTGTACACATTAAAAAAACTGAAGATCAGAGAGCTTAAGAAACTTGCAGGGTCACCTAGCTTAGTAAGTAGTAGAACTGGTTTTCAACCTAAGTACTGTAACAGCAGAGGTGATGCCATTAACTCCAAAGTCGTACTGCCTATTTCCCCTCTAGAAAATCATGATATATACAGTATTAACATAGTAGCAGCTCCGAGGAGCCCTGCAGTAAAGGAAACTATTAAGTTTTTTTGTTTTTGTTTCTGTTGTTTGTTTTTTGAGATGGGTTTCATTCTTTTTGCCTAGGCTGGAGTGCAACGGCGCGATCTCGGCTCACCACAACCTCTGCCTCCTGGGTTCAAGCAATTCTCCTGCCTCAGCCTCCCAAGTAGCTGGGATTACAGGCATGCACCACCATGCCCAGCTAATTTTGTATTTTTTTAGTAGAGATGGGGTTTCTCCATGTTGGTCAGGCTGATCTGGAACTCGCGATCTCAGATGATCCACCTGCCTTGGCCTCCCAAAGTGCTGGGATTACAGGCGTGAGCCACTGCACCCGGCCTAGAAACTGTTAAAGTTTTGTGTGACTCTGTGATGGTGAAAGCCATATCTGCTCATTGAGGAGTTCCTTTTTTGTTTGTTTTTTTTTTGAGATGGAGTCTCACTCTGTTGCCCAGGCTGGAGTGCAGTGGCATGATCTCAGCTTACTGCAACGTCTGCCTCCCAGGTTCAAGCGATCCTCCTGCCTCAGTCCCTCTAGTAGCTGGGATGGCAGGCATGTGCCGCCATGCCAGGCTTATTTTTGTATTTTTAGTAGAGATGGGGCTTCACCATGTTGGCAAGGCTGACCTCGAACTCCTGACCTCAGGTGATCGACCTGCCTTGGCCTCCCAAAGTGCTGGGATTACAGGTGTAAGCCACAACACCTGGCCGGGAAATTCTTTAGAAACTTGCACAATGCTTTGAACACAGTAGGCACCCATTAAATATTTATTGAACAAATGAAATAGGTAAGTAAGTGTAATAACAAAGTTATTATTGAAGTTGGGCAGCAACAACTTTAAACCTGGGAGTTAAAACTTTTTTAACATATGAATTTTAAAAATTGTGTTTAATATTATAGTGAGTAATCTTTCATTTAATTTTTGTAATTACATTACAATCCCTCAATCAAACAGATTACAAACCTGTTATGCTGTGGACCAAAGCCAGCCCCACGAAGTTGATCTTCAAAAAAATGGAATTTACTCTGGCATGCTCCTATGTATGACACCTTTCCAAGGCCAAATCCCAAGAGACCAGCAACTGTAAAAGCAGGTTGGGAGAGATCATTTAAAGGTTGAGAATCCTCTCCATTAGTTATCTTCTAGAGCTTTAAAAGTTAATGCTAGCAATTTTAAAATTAAAAGGACCATGCTAAATCAATGAATGAAGACTCTGAGAATGAAGTCTCTATTTAAAATGAGCAGGATTGGGAACTGGAGACTTCCTGATCTGAGCTTTGAACTGGTGGTAGAAGGGCCAGGACAGAGCAAGCCACAGTGCTGTCCTGGAGACAGCCAGCCAGAAGAGGGCCCACCTGTCAAGCAAATGGTTGAGATCACCGGGGCAGGGGAAGGTGGGGTCTGGGTTGTGGCTATATACAGCCTCCCAATCACTGGGTAGAAACACCCCTAATCTTCCTTATGGCCTTGGAGTAGTGGAGAGCTTCAGTCCATCTTGCCTATAGGAGAGAGGTCAGAGGGAGAGGGACCCTCCTATGGAAGAGATCTCGAACCTCTTTCTCCTGCTGGGAATAAATGCAGTTTCAGACTCTCAACTGGAATGTGTCCCTTTTATACATAAAAGATCTATTGATACAGGTGGAAGAAGATGAAACCCCAAGTTTGTAGTAAATCTATTATTAGAAATCCCTCAATTCTTAAAAATTACTCCTTTTTTATATGTATTGTAGAAAATATTTTGAGAAGAGTGGCCAGGCCAAAAGAAGAAAATAAAAATCCCTAAAGGATGTATCATTCAGAGACTCTGCTATTGATAATCTCATTGTATATCCTGCCAGTCCCTCTTAGTCCGTGCTTTAAGGATGGTCTAAGGAGAAGTCTCTACTGCTAAGCTGTATATCAGAAAGTGTTGAATGAACGAAGAAATGCAGAGTGGCAGAAAATAGAGGCTGATTTTTCAAAAAGACAATACAGGCAGTTTACTTAGGCTGGAAATTCACATCTCCAGTTGCTAGTAATGTCTTTCCCCCCGCTCCCAAAATGAATCTGCTTTTAAAATTTTTATTTATTATTATTTTTAAAAATAGATACAAGTTTTCACCATGTTGTCCAGGCTGGTCTTGAACTCCTGGACTCAAGCAACCCACCCGCTTCAGCCTCCCAAAGAGCTGAGATTACAGATGTGAGCCACCACGCCTGGCTTGCTTTTTTATTTCTGTGACTTACGGGCAACTTTGGGCAATGATCCAAATCTAGGATTAGCTGCCAAATAACCTAAGGAGTAATACAGAAATACAGTATTATTTCATTTTATAACTTATCTAAGTTATAAGTTATAAATTATGTTATTCTTAAAGTATAAAGAAACTTCCAAAATTTAAGATATAAAATTTCTTAAATGTATACATATTCTGACTTTAAAAAGATGATCTTAAAAGAGCTATGATTCAATTCTCAGTTGACTTTAACTCCCAGATAGTCATTTTAGGTAAATTACAAATATCAGTTTTAATGTGTAGAAAAATAATATGAAACAGAAAATTCAAGACTGATTCAAAGACATCAAGCAAAGGTAGGGCTAACAACAGTGTTCAAAGACATTAGTCATCCTCTTTCCCTTTTAAACAACTCAACATAGAAAGTTTCCATGTGCACATTCACATATCACTATTTTACAAGGCAAACAGTACAACTCATGGTAGTTAGAACAATGGCCTTCTAGAGATACCCAAGTCCGAATTCCTGGAAAAGGTGATATATTATGTCACAAAATGGGGATTAGGTGGAAAATGGAACTAATGTTGCTAATCAGATAACTTTAGAGAGAGGATCCGGGTGGGTCCAATGTGATCCTTCAGTGTGGAAGAGGAAACTGGTGATGGAACAGAGAGATGGCAGCAAGAGAAGAACTTGGCTCAATGTTGTGGACTTTACGGTCATAGGAAGGGGCCATCGGTTAAGAAATATGGGTGGGTCTAGAAGCTGGAAAGGAAAAGTAAGCCCAAGAGCCTTCAGAAGGAACACAGCTGGACCGATGCCTTGATTTTGGCCCTGTGAGACCCATTTCAGAATTCTGACTTCCAAAAACTGTAGGATGATACATTCATGTTGTTCTAAGCTGCTGTGTTTGTGGTAATTTGTTAGAGAAGTTGTAGAAAACTGATACCAAGCCCCGAAAAAATATATTAGCATAGATGCAAAAGATGGTAGATGTCTTGGTCTGTTTTCTGCTGCTTACCACAGGCTGGATAATTTATAAAAAACAGAAGTTCACTTGGCTCACAGTTCTGGAGGCTGGGAAGTCCAAGAGCAGAGAGCTGGCATCTAGTCAGGGTTATCCCATGGCAAGGAAGTGCAGGAAACAGACAGCAAGAGGCTGAATACATCCTTTTTATCAGGAACTACTCCCATGATGATAGTATTAATTAATTTATGAGGATGGAGCCCTCATAACTTAACCTCTTAACGGCCCCATCTCTTAATACTGTTACAATAGTAGTTAAATTTCAACCTGAGTTTTGAAGGGGACATTCACACCACAAGCAGTAGAATTGAAGTTGTTTAATACTTATAAAACATAATCCTGGCTGGGTGCGGTGGCTCATGCCTATAATCCCAGCACTTTGGGAGGCTAAAGTGGCCAGATCACTTGAGGTCAGGAGCATGAGACCAACCTGGCCAACATGGTGAAACTCCGTCTCTACTAAAAACACAAAAATTAGCCGGAGGTGGTAGTGCATGCCTGCAATTCCAGCTACTAGGGAGGTTATGGCAAGAGAATTGCTTGAACCAGCTGGTGGAAGTTGCAGTGAGCCAAAATCAGGCCACTGCACTCCAGCCTGAGCAACAGAGCAAGACTCCATCTCAAAAAACACCCCAAAAAACCCCCATAATCTCCATATATGTCCCAGCTCCCATATTTTTATTTGTGTAAAAAAATGATCTAAAAATGCTTGTTACTTCTACAAAAAGCTATCTTCAAGTTATAAAAATAAAATCATATTTAATACATGACCTTTATGAACAAGAATGGCATTGGTCAAAGTGGGATTCTCCTAGATACTTCGTGTGGTTTTTAAGACCCAGAAAAGAACGAGGATTTCTTCCTTCATAGTTATTGAGCACAAATGTTCCTTTTAAGATCCCGGTAATCAAGTCTGGGTGTGGCGGCTTACCCATGTAATTCCAGCACTTTGGGAGGCTGAGGCGGGAGGATCACTTGAGCTCAGGAGTTCAAGACCAGCCTGGGCAATATAGTGAGACACTGTCTCTGCAGAAATTTTTTAAAAAATTATCTGGGTGTGGTGGCATGTGTCTATAGACCCAGCTACTTGGAAAGCTCAGGTGGGAGCATCACTTGAGCCTCAGAGGTTGAGACTTCAGGGAGCCACTATTGTATCACTGCACTGGATGACAGAGTGAGACACTGTCTCAAAAATGAATAAGTAAACAAAAACCCCACAAAACAAAACCCCAAGACCCCATAAAATCCTGATAATCAGAAGCCAGGCATGGTGGTGTGTACCTATAATCCTAGCTACTCAAGGAGGTTAAAGGAGGAGGATCACTTGAGCCTAAGAGTTTGAAACCAGCTTGGGCAACATAGCAAGACCTCGTGTCATTTAAAACAAATAAAAAATAAAACAAAATCCTGGCAATCAGCAGTGTTAGATAAAATGGGCTTAAACAGGATAAGGTGCCTTCTTGTCACCTGGGGAACTAGGCAAAGTCTCTGGGTTCTCTAGTCAGGTGGAGACAGGGAGGAGATAAGAAAAGAATAGAGAGGAAAACAGGAAAACACTAAGAGGCAGGGAGAGGTTGTGCGGGGAGGTACAAGGAGCTGCTGGTCCTTACAGAATCTTCTATGGAGGAGACAGAGTGCCCACCTCAGGCAGATGCAGTCTCTCGCCAAAAGAAATGGCGTGGTGGACACAGGTTGGGGTGGATTTCAGCTCCCCACCCCCTCCCTGGAGCATCCTTATTTGTACAGGGAACCATCTGTCTAACCATATACAGAGGCCCTGAAAGACACAGCACTCCGGCACAGAGAAAGGTGCAGATTGATTCTATTTTCTGTAAACAAAGCAAATTTATTATCTTATAGTTCTTGAGGTCAGAAATCCAAAATGGGCCTCACCAGATGAAAACTAAGGTTTTAACTGCATTCCTTAAATGGACTGCCTTCCAATCTGGAGGCTGGAGGGTGTGACTTTCTAGCTTCTTGAGGCTGCCCACCATCCTTCGCTCATGGCCCCTTCCTCTGTCTTCAAGTCCAACAATGTTGAGCTGAGTCCTCAGACTGTCACCTCTCTGATTCCACCCTCAGATCCCGTCTCTCACTTTTAAGGACCCTTTCAATTACACCAGGCCTACCTGGATCACCCAGGATACTCTCCCTATTTTAAGGTCAGGTGATTAACAACCTTCATTCCATCTACAACTTTGATTTCCTTTTGCCAGGTAACCCAATATATTCACTAATTCCGGAGATTAGTATGCTTTCTGGAGAGATGGGGACTTAGGCTAAATAGGAAGAAGTCTGCATAAATAAATCCTTCACGAAAAAATAAGTGCCAGGGACCACAAAGCTGCCAGGAGGGTCACAGAAAAGTGGGCTCTCTGAAATTAGATTATTTAACAAATGTTGAATCTTACCTTGGTAGACTAGTCCCTGGGTGACAAGCATGCTTACAAGAGAAAAAGGCAGAGCTGTAAGGCAAAAACGTCCTTTAATATTGGTATTTTAAAAATTGGCACCTCACCTAGAAGTTACAGAGAATTACTCTGAGCTTTTTCTCTTACCTTCTTTGTCAGTGAAATTTTATTCGTTTGTTATTTTACTAACAAATATTTATTCAGTGCAGCGTGGAGAATTTTCTTGGAATCTTCCCCAGTCACTCACCCTGAGGCACAGCATTAATTTGAACCCTGTGCTACTTCATCTCTGACATCCGCTTGTAATGAATGCCAACGTGCACCAGATTCTAAGCATTACATATAATAAAGGCATCTTAGGATATAAGTATATTTACCTGTTGAATTTGGGAGCTGCTTTTAGCTATGTGTATATTTTGAAATTTTCAATCCTACATAAATGTTAAAAAGCAATACAATAAACTCCTACATACTCTTCATCTGGATTCATTAATTGTGAACATTTTTCCAAATTTGCTTTATCATTTTTAAATTTTTCCGTTTTTTCTGAGCCATGTGAAATTTGCAAACATTATGACTCTTTATAACTAAATACTTCAGCAGGTGTCTTCTAATAACAAGAATGCTTCTGCACGTAGTTACACCGTCATTAGCATGGTCAAAATTGAACACTCATACTCAAGAAAAAATATATTAACTTATACACAATTGTTATCCAAATCTCTCCAATTGGCCCAATAGCTGTCAGCCAATAGCTGTGGGTTTTTTTTCCAATTCAGAAATTCAGGGATTATATGTTACACATACTCTCCTATCTGCTTTAGTCTAGGACAGTTCCCTGCCTTTCTTTTTCTTTTTAATGACATTTTCTCTTACAATTTGGATTTGCCCAATGATCCAAATTAAAGATTACAAGATGACTATATTCATGTTAAACATGTGTAATGTTTAGCTACAATTTTAAAACAGGAAATTTAGTCTGGGAAAAGCAGTTTCTAGTTCTGTCCACCAAAATGTGTCAGATGACTTCTTTCAAAAGAAGAGAGTAGTGATAAACACATATCTCTTTCCAGTTCAACCAAGACAAATCAAATAGCAACCAATTTTTCCACTCATAGCTACCCCATAGTGGGCAAATAGGTCATACTGAAGTGTTAATCTACTAGGGCCCAATTAAATTTTTGGAATGATTTCTGGAAGCACAATCAGTAATCCTACAATGTATAATAAACATCAACTTCTAGAGGGTGTTCTTTCTTTCTTTCTTTCTTTGTTTTTTTTTTTTTTTTTTTT